TGCCCCCGCGCCTCGCTCAGCCAGTGAGCGGGAACCGGTCTGTATGTGGGATCCGAACCGCGCTTCCCAAGCGGCACACTTATCCAGTGCGCCACCAGGCCGGCCCCTTTTTTTTTTTTTTTTTTTTTTTTTGGTCTCCCTATACCTCCTGAAGGGGATGCTTTGTTGTGACCTGTGGGGGTCAGAATTTGGAGTCAAGGGGCCAAACTGGAAGAGAAAGATTTTCCCCCAGTTCCAGTGCATGGATCCAGCTCTCTCTCTTCTTTATTCTGTTCTGGGCCTGGCTATAGAGCAGCCCTGAGTATCCTGGCTGGCTTACCACCAGAAAACAACAAAAACTTTCGATCCACTGTTGAAAAAAACTACCACCCTGACCCTGACCCCAGGGCTTCCTTTGGATAAGGAGGGGCATCCTGGACTCTCTAGCATCCAAATTCCCTAGCTTCCCTCCAGGGATCCCAAATGGGCAGGGCCCTCAGGCCCAGTTCCTGGCCATAAGGCTCTCCTGCCCACCCCCTCTCTCCCCAGCCCCACTCTATTCCCACACATTCTTCAGCCATGACATCCCCACCACAGGGCGCCCAGATGAGCTCTGTGACCTAGGCCCTGTTTTGCTTTCCACCCACCCTGTGCTGGTCCCACACTGCCCTGGGACCCACAGGCCAGCACAGTCCTGTGGCCTCTGTACTTGGGTTCCACCCAATGGGGGGCACAAGTGTGGGTAAACCAGTATGCCCTGGGAAGGTATAGAGCTGACCTTGAGCTTACGGGGTTGTCATTGAGATTATATTAAAGTGACCATTTAGTGGGTGCTTACTATATGCCGGGTTCTATGCTGGGTGCTACATTTACATGCCTTATTTTATGCAGTAATCCTAGGAGACAGATTCCAGTATTAGCCCCTTTTATGTAGGAGGAAACTGAGGTTTGGAAGAGTTTACATGACTTGTCAGCTAGTGATAGCCAAGCTAGGATTCTGTCTGACTCCAAAGCCCTTGCTCTTTGCTGTATATCCAAGGACGAGTCCAAACGCCCAGCCACACGTTTATGTGGTGGTGCCTCTGGGTGTGGGAGCCTGGAGGTGCGGGGTCCATGCAAAGGTACAAGGTGTGCAAACATGTGGGGGACCCATGTGGCCCCCGCACACCCATGTGAATGTTGGCACACGTGAGTCCACCACCACCTCCTTGGAATGTACCCCTCAAACCATATCCTCGCTAAGGCCACTTTGGCATGTCAGCTGAGAAGTGTCTTTTGTCACTCTTCCATTAGCAGCTGAGCCGAGGCCCCTGAGAGTGGTCTTTTGAACAAGAAAAGCTTTCTTGTTGGGGTACAAGAGATTCTGGGCTGCTTATGGCTGGTGACCTTGGGCACGTCATTTCCCCTCGTGGGCCCAAGTGTTCTAATCTCTAAAGTCAGGGAGGTGAGCTGGTCCCTAGCCACCAGGTTCTCTCTCCAAGAGTTCGTAATGGGACACTCCTAGGCAAGAGCGGGGGGTGGAGTGTGGCTGGCTGGGTGTGTCGTGGGTGGGCCAAGATTAAATGAACTCATTAATGTGAAAGCACTTTGTCAACTGGAAAGCACCACATAAATTTCAACAGATATTTCCATAAGGTGTCATTATCGCTACTATTATTGGTTTAATGAGTTCAGAGCTTACAGCTGGTTCATGTGTTGGATCTTGGACATGTATATTTTTTAGGACTGTCTGTGACTCTATGTATTTTTTTGTGTGCCTGAGTGTCTATTTTTATGTATATGTGTTTACAATATGGTTCTAGAGTACAGTGAACTTGAGTGCAGCGTTCACTGGACTGGGAATGGGGAGGCCTGAGTTATAAATCCAGCCTTTTCAGTGACTAGAAGTATGGCCTCAGTTAAGTCATTTCCCTTCAGGGCCTCAGTTTCCTCATCTGTAAAATGGAGGTTTGGTCCAGGTGGCTGCTAAAGTCACTCCACATTCTGTTCTCCGTGTCTACATGAGTGTGTGTCTCTCACGTACTTGCAGGCCTGCAGAATATGGTACATCATGGTAGTGGTCCTTCATTCATTCATTAGAACAGACATCACTGAGCACGTTCCCCTGAAGGCACAGTGCTGGGCCCTGCTTGCGTGTGTGGGGGTGATGTCTCTGACTTTGCTGGCTTCACATTTGAGGGCATTGATGTGATGTCACTATCTGTTCGTGGGACACTAACTGTGTGTGTCTGATTCTGTCCGTGTGTGATGAAGTGTGTATGTGTGTGTCCACCCAACGGGGCCAATTGGAGAGAAGAAACCTGTGCGTAAGGCCTCGAGGTTAAAACAACTTGTGTAATGCCGACCGCCAGGCCTGTGCAGCGCTCCGCGGGATGAAAAGCAGATGTTGCCGTGGGTGGAACTGCGGGGAAGCTGCTCGAAGTTCCACCTCCAGCTCAGCCTCCCACCTCCCTCAGCCCAGCCCAGCATGAAGCTTGCATCTGAGCTCCTTCCAAAGCAGCCAGTTCTATGGCCATGGCTTCCTCTTGCTCCAGACTTCTCAGAAGGAAGACAGGCTGTTCAGCCCATCTCTCTGGAAACATCTCTCCTCAGCTCCAGAAAGTGCAATGGCCTGTTTGGGAGGCTCTCTTCCTCCAGGCATTTCTTTCAGAGAGGGACCCTAAGACTCAGAATAGGAATCACTTGAGAATTGCTCAACCTTTTCTTCCTGGCTCCCAGTATGTGTCTTGATTTCCCGAATATGCCTATCCTGCTCTAATTCTTGTTGGAATAATTGGATTCCAATATTGGAATAATTCCAATTATTAGTGGGATAATAAGAATTGGAATGGATAGGCATACTAGGCATTTTATTTTGTTTCACAGCCTCTTCTTGATTTAATTCATAAGGCATTTGTTGAGTGCTCAGCACAGTGCCAAGGTTAGGGGCCTGTGAGTAGACTCTATCATCTCGCCCCATTTTATTTTCTTCATGGCACTCGTCGCTATCTGGGATTCTCTAGGTCAGTATTTGTTTACTCGTGTATTGCTGAAGGTTAGCTCCAAAGGAGCAGGGACCTCTTATGTCTTGCTAATCACTGGGGTAGCGCCTGGCCCACAGCAGGTGCTAACTAAGTATTTGCTGAAGAATTATGGAATCAATTACACAATGTGTCTTCGTGGAGCTAACTGCTCATAGGGGCTGGGCATCAGTTTGGCTGGGATTTTGACTAAAAGGGAGCATGAATTTCCCAGCAGATTCTCGAAGCTGACCCCCTGCTGCCCTCCTTCTACTTCTTGAGATGGCATTTGAGGGTCACAGTGCTGTGGGGGGTGGGGGGTGTGCCTACAGGGTCGAGCTGTAAGCACACAGCACCCATTGCTGGGTAGGAGGATTAACTCAGTCCCTGGCCTCTTTTCTCTCTAGCTGCCTTTCTTGGGGACATTGCCCTGGACGAGGAGGACTTGAGGGCCTTCCAGGTGCAGCAGGCTGCAGTTCTCAGACAGCGCGCAGTCCGTAGGTCTTCCATCAAAGTTGCAGGTATGCCAGGTGTGGGCTGGTCTCTATGTCTCAGAAATGGGCTCTAGACTTGGGGAAACAAGGAACCTACCTGTTCACAGCCAGGCCCTCCCAGGACAGAGGTCATGAGCATGAACCCAGCACGTGGGATTGTCTTCCCTTGGGATATCTTAATCCCTTCCCCAGAGGAGCAGTAAGTGTAGACAGGAGCTAAGAACCAACTTCTTTCTGCTTAGGATTTATAAAACACTTTCAAAAGTGTCAACTAGCTTGACTGTCCCCCAACCACCTTCAAAGGCAAGTGTCAGGACAACTCCTATTTAATAGGTGCAGAAACTAAGACTCATGGAGGTAAAGTGACTTGCCTAAGATCACGCAGCTAGTCAGTGGCAGAGCTAGGACTGGAATCCAAGCCTTCTCACTCCAAATCCGAGATGCTTTGTCCAACGCTGTAATTACTTCTGGCTTCTGTTCCCCCTTTGCAACCTCCTATGCCTCCTCCAAGGCCTATCTCAAGAGCTTCTCTTCCGAATCTTCCCCAGTTGTCCCCTGGACATGACTACCCCTTCATTCTGCGTGCTCTCTCTCTCAACTCTGTGCTTACTTTGTTAGTGTCTTACTACGAAACCACAATGAAATGATTCCTATGCCTATCTCCCCAACTGGACTCAGAGCTCCCCAAGGTCAGGGATGGTTCCTTCTTATGGCTGGCTGTGGTCCGATCACCCACCAACCCACAGGGCACTTGTGCATGGGTGAGGCAATGGAGGATTGTGGGCCTGGGCTGGGTCGGTTCTTTCCAGCCTCTCACTGCTCTATAGAGGGACAAAGACTCATCACCATCCATGCTGATGCTTGGGACATGGTCCTGGGAGTCCATGTGTAGCTCTCCTATTCTCTTCTACTGAGGGCCTGTTCTGGGCACACTCTGGTGGTGCCAGGCAGTCGTCCTGTCCAGCATAAGGGAGGACCTGGCATGGACAACCCATGAAGCAAAGGTCAGACTACCCTGGAAGGCTGTGGCATTGGAGGGTGACCTGGTGGCCTGGTAACAGGCAAGGCTTACGTGACCTTAGTGGCAAATAGTAGGTGGGGCACAGGGGAAAGCCACATGAAGGGGTCTGCTGCTCCCCTGCCAGGTGACTTTGTGCAAAGCTTTGGCATAGTTTCCTTATCTGTCAAATGCAGATAATGACACTTGCCCGCATCTCACAGAGCTATAACTGTGTCAAATGAGAGTGTATATCTAGGAAACTTGACAGAAGACAGAAAGCTCTGTATGCCCCACAAATAACAAGGTATATTGGATGTGTGTGGGTGTAGGAAAACACACAGTGCAGTGATATTCCCTCTATGTACTTATTCAACAACAATCATCACAGAAGGCCAACTTCTGACTTCTGTGACCAAATGTGTGGATTTGTCCCTACTCGCAACAAGCCAGCAGTTCTCCAGCAAACACCAGCCAGGTGTCCTCTAATTCAATTCCAACACTATCTTCCTGGAGATAGCATCAGATCCCACAGGTCGAGGACTCAGTCCCCAAGACTCACCCACATCTTCAGATGCCAGTTGCAAGTCCAGGCCTCTGGAACTTCTGACTGACTGGCTATAAATCAGGGTTCCCACAACCCCTTCCTTGGGTTCCATTAATTTGCTTGAGCTGCTCACAGAACTCAGGGAAACACGTACTTATGTTTACCAGTTTATTACAAAGGATATTTTAAAGGATGTAAACAAAGAGTTACATAGGGTGAAATATAGGGGAAGGGGTGCAGAACTTCCAGGCCTTCTCTGGCTGTGCCACCCTCCAGGAACCTCCATGCATGTGCTCAGCTATCTGGAAGCTCTCCAAACCCAGGCCTCTTGAGTTTTTATGGAGGCTTCATTATGTAGGCATGACTGAAGCATGGACAACCATGTAGAAATGTGATTGGATAAAAACGGTATGATCTAATGCTAATAGTGTGGGTGGGGAAACCCAGCAGGGTTTCAGATCTCCCCAGGTCCCCACAGTTCCTAGGAAATGAGTACACCAGGGTTCTCTTTTTCAATTACAGTCAATTCTTGCTATTCATGGTAGTTAGGAATAGTTATAGAATAACTTCATAGTTATTACAAAACTTTGTAGTTATTCTGTACAGTCACTGTGAACACTGAATTTAGCAAATCCTGAGCCATTGCTCTTAGGGGAAACACGGTCCTGCGAGCCCCTGGTCACAAGACTTTTGTCAACCAATTAATACATAACCTTGTTTTATGTGTATTTTTATTTAAAGACCCCTTATTTAATATACTGTTGATCTACTAACAATGAACTCATGGGCAACAGCATTTACTTATGTAACACAAGTGTTTTCTCCATAAGGGACACCACAGCCTTCTTGCCCTTGGGAACACTAGCAGCACTTCAGCACTACACTACACTTGGGGGCCATTTTAAACAGCAAAATCATCAACAAAAAGCACAAAAAATGCAAAAACTACAGCACTTAGATTGACTACAAAAACGACACTTGTTCATAGCATAAGAGCTGAAATTGGGTGACTCCAATTTTTCACCACTCTGTGCGTGTCCTAAATGACTGTGCAAGCCTCCACAGTATTGATTTTGGGGTTACAAATCAATTTCAGCAAGTAGGCAAATTTGCAGATACGAAATCTGCAAATAATGAAGCTCATCTATACTTTGCTTCCCTCCTCCTCTGGTCTGCACACTTGCTACCAATGCCTTCCTCTTTCAGTGCCAGGAAACTCTTCTGCCCCCTGCTGCAAGAGCACAAGTGGGCAGCCTCGGAGGGAAGCCCGTGGGAGATGGAGAGGCAGGTCCCGGAGCCGGCGGGCAGCAACCTCCAGACCAGAGCGTGTGTGGCCCGATGGGGTCATCCCCTTTGTGATTGGGGGAAACTTCACTGGTGAGCGTGCTGTTGTGGGGCCCAGGGCGCAGCCTGCCCTCCGGGCCTGGCCTTGGGGCAGCCCTGCCAGGCACGGAGGTGTGGATGCTACCTTCAGCTTAAGACAGTCCACACGTTCCTCCTTGGGCAGTCTGCTCTCAAAATGGTCTTGACTCTTTAGCAGTGGGTGGAGGGGACCCCAACTGGACACTGTGGCAGCCTGGCGTCCTTCCTCCTGGCAGGCAGCCAGAAGGCAGTCTTCCGGCAGGCCATGAGGCACTGGGAAAAACACACCTGTGTCACCTTCCTGGAGCGCACCGACGAGGACAGCTATATAGTGTTCACCTTCCGACCCTGCGGGTGAGCAGGGACCCCTGGGCACTGCACCCTTGGCCACCGCTCCAACCCCTGCTCTGCCCTGGGCACTGCCGCTGCCCGCCCTGGTCGCAGCCCCGGGTTTGCCCATCCCCTTCTGCCATGGGGCATCTCCCCAGGAACTGCCCCTTGACGGGGCTGGTCCCCCGGCCCCCAGCCCGGCGTTCTGCGCTCGGGGCCCCGCCCTCCGCTCCCTGCCGCCCGGCAGCCGGGCCCCGCCCCTGAGTGGATGCACTCCCCCAGCTCGGGACCGCCCCCCTGAGCTGGCCCCGCCCTCCAGGTGCTGCTCCTACGTGGGTCGCCGCGGCGGGGGCCCCCAGGCCATCTCCATCGGCAAGAACTGTGATAAGTTCGGCATCGTGGTGCACGAGCTGGGCCACGTCATTGGCTTCTGGCACGAGCACACGCGGCCCGACCGGGACCGCCACGTCTCCATAGTACGGGAGAACATCCAGCCAGGTACGGGCCCCTGTGCTCCAGCCCCTCTCCGGGGCCCCTGGTGGGGATGGGAGCTGCTCCCTGGAGCCACGCCCGTGGTCAACTCAGTGTTATAGGTCCAGCCCGCAGGTTGGTCTAGATCCCCTCTGAGGCATCCTCCTGCCAGTAGCGGCTCAGGGACCTGCACCAGGTTGGAGCTCCTTGGGGGGCTGGGACAGGTCCCATCCTGGATACAGGGGCCATCCTGAGCAGCCAGAACCCAGGTGGCCTCTAGGGTGGGACTGGACGGAGTCACCCATCCCTGGATACTGCCTCAGGCCTTTGTCATCACCTTTAGCCCCCGGTCTCTGCCCTCTGCCTATTCTGTCCTCTGAGGGTTTTTTCTCTCTAGTGTCTCCTGGCCTTCTCTGTCCCCTCCCTTCCCTCATCCTCAAGGCCTCCTCCACTGTTCAGGGCTCCCTAGACCATGATTCTAGAAATTGGTGTTTCGTTCCCAAATTCCTTCAAGCTCTGGCAAGTCCTCCATGCACTGGGCATTCTGCTGGACAGGACTCTTCCAGAGACCCTCCCCCACACTCCTCCAACCCCCATGCCCAGCTTTCCTTGGCTGCCCCCAGGACCCTCCGCAACCCTCCGCTAGGGGGGCTGCTCAGGTACAGGGAGGACACTATTCCCCACCCCGAGAAGGGAGCGCTGCATCCTGCATAGACCCACCCCCTCTCTGTCCCCCACACCCTTCTCCTGGTCTTCGCAGGGCAGGAGTATAATTTCCTGAAGATGGAGGTGCAGGAGGTGGAGTCCCTAGGGGAGAACTATGATTTCGACAGCATCATGCACTATGCCCGGAACACGTTCTCCAGGTGAGAGGCAGGCCTGGACCTCTTCTGGGGCAGTCCAACCTTCCCCTCTGCAGGCCATTCTCTTTACACCCCCTACCCACCCCACCCCATTTCTCACTAGCCTGCCCTGCTGGCGCAGTGACCAAGGACAACAGTGGCCCTTCAGGTGGCTGCGGCCCCAAAGCAGAGGGTCCAAGTTGCTGCCTGCCTACTGTCCTCTTCCGCCTGGGTCCGTGGCAGGGCCTGGGCTCTCGGGGGCTGAAATCCAGCCACTCTGCAAGCCAGGCAGTGGGGGGCACCCTGAGCTGTAGCAGCCCGCAGGGAGCTGCGCTTTCCTCCCCTCTGCTGGCCAGAGGGGAGCACCCTTTTCCAGTGGACCTGCCCTTTTGTAATTGGCTAATTTGCACAGAGCCTGGTTCTTGCCCTGGACTGGTCCCCATCCTCAGCTCACAAGCACATCCTCCTCACCCTAGGCCCAGGTTCCCAGAAGTCATGCAGAACCCCCAGAGGTAGTGGCCCAGCCTCCCCTCCCCCTGCTTCTCCTTAGCAGAGCGTGGGAAACGGCCCCTCCCTCTTCCCCATGCTCCTTCCTGGACTGGCCTTTCCCATGCCTGGCTCTGTCCTTACCCATCGACTGTCCCAGACAGTGGCCCTTCCCCCTCTTCTTAGTGTTCCTACCGAACCCACTCTTCCTGCTTCCAGACCTGAGGGAGCAAGACCAAGCAAGGGTGATGAGGTCATTGTGCCCCCCCATACCCACAGACCCCTCCTTCTGCTTCCCGCGCATCCCACCCCATCCTCTGCTGTGCTCCACCCAGCAGCAGGGAGTGAGTCAGGAGCCCTGGGGGGTGGAGGGCTGCCCTGCTTCCCCTTCCTTCTGCTCTCCCACATGGAACACCCAGAATCTAGCAGGGAGGAACTGGGGGCACATGAGACACTGATGGATTAGGAGCTGGTAGGGCTCTCCCCAGGGTATGGTCTGGCCACGGTGGAACTTGCCCTTTGGACTGGTACCAGGTGTTGTCAGATGCAACGCGTGCCAGCAGGGTGAAGAGTCAGCCTTGAGTAGTCCTAGAAGTGTGGTCAGGGCTGAGTCAGCGTGAGGGGTCGCAGGAGCAGGCCGGGCTGCAGAGATGATCGCCTAGGGGCCCATAGTTCTCCTGGGGCTGGGGTCTCCAGGGCTTCCCAGGCCTGTGTCCCGAAGCTTCCAAAGGGTTCCTGGGGCTCCCCCGGCTCCTGTGGTGTGGCTGCCACGGAGCAGGGTGGCTGCTCATCCATGGGCAGCATAATGACAGGGTGAGACATCTCCACCCGTGCCTGACCCTGCTGAGGAATGTCTGCACTCTGGTAGGGTCACGACCTGTGGTGCATACAGGCAGGTCACTCCTCCCTCTGCCAGACTCTCACCCTCACGTATCCCATTTGTCCTCCTCAGGGGAATCTTCCTGGACACCATCGTCCCCAAATATGAGGTGAATGGGGTGAAACCTCCCATCGGCCAAAGGACCCGGCTCAGCAAGGGGGACATTGCCCAGGCCCGCAAGCTCTACAAGTGCCCAGGTCAGGGCAGGGAAGGGACAGGGCCTGAGGGAGGCAGAGGCCAGGGTCTGGGGCCACCAAGGAACTTAAAGGTGAAAGTCTTAGAGAAGGGGGTTGGGGGAGGGGATATCAGGGAGGGACAGTGTCTAGTTTAGGAGCCAAACTGAGGCTAGGATCAGGGGTGGTGAGAAGCTGAGCCCCCCATCCTCTGAGGGTCTGGGAGAGCATGGGGCAGGAGGAGCAGAAAGTGGGGAGAACAGAGTAATTCTATGGAAGTGGGATGGAGTTGAGACCCACCAGGGGAACTTGACCTTAACTCTGGCACCCACGTTGCCTTGTCAGCGGGTCCTCCCACTACCCCGGCAGCACTAGGCCCAGGGAGGTAGGATGGTATGTGCTTGTGTGTGAGGAGGAGGGGGTGGATCTTAAAGGAACAAGGATCTTAAAGGACTTCCTCGTTGCCTTGTCAGCGGGTCCTCCCACTACCCCGGCAGCACTAGGCCCAGGGAGGTAGGATGTGCTTGTGTGTGAGGAGGAGGGGGTGGATCTTAAAGGAACAAGGATCTTAAAGGACTTCCCCTCTCCCCAGCCATTCTCTCCCCAAAAGGATGCCAGGGCTTAGGGGTGGGTGAGCTAGAAGGTAGGGGGGTTCAGCACCTTCAAGTGGCTGCCCAGTCATTCCCTTTTCCTTACAGCCTGTGGAGAGACCCTACAAGACAGCACGGGCAATTTCTCTTCCCCTGAGTACCCCAATGGCTACTCCGCCCACATGCACTGTGTATGGCGCATCTCGGTCACACCTGGGGAGAAGGTAACCGTCGTCTTGGGCCTCTGAGCCTCCCCTCCTCTGCTGGGACCCCAAGAGTAGGAGAGCATATCTCTTCCCGGAGCCCTGGCTCAGGGACTTCTTCCACAGCGGGTCCATGTGGATGCCAGTGACCTACCTGGTTATCATAAATCCACGGAGTCCACAAGTCTGACGGAGCTCTATAGTGGGGAGGGGCTCCCGACAATCACAGCCTCCCATGGCGTCTCACAATGATTGTGAATTAGCGTGAATTTGTAAACAGCACTTCCTGTGTAGGTATATTTGGATTATCTAGTTCTCATTGAGTGCTTTTTTAGTGCTTTTCATATATCGCCTCTTAATTCTTATGGCTACCCTGTGTCTTCATTTTACACATGAGGAAACTGAGGCACAGGGAGGTTAAGTGACTTGCCCAAGATCACACAGCTAAGGAGTGAGATGGGATTTGAGCCCTTCCCAGGGCTGGGTTCGATCCCAGCCTTGCTCGATTGCCTGGGTGGCCTTGGATGAGCTGCTCAGGCCCAGCCCTTGGCTCTCCCATCTGTCTCATCAGGGCTTGGGCCAAGGGCTCCCAAAAGGCTCTTCCCAGTTCTGACAAGCTCTGGTCCTAGGAACAGTTAAGGGACAATGTAGATGCCTCCAACAGGATGCTTTCTGGATGGTGGGTCTTTCCTTCCCACCTTTCCTTACTCTTGCACACTCTCAGACCTGCCATCTCTGCTACATAGGCTTGATTTTCTGAGCCCGACTCTCTCCTGCCACCTGTCCCCTCCTGCTACCTGTCCCCTGCTCTATCAGTTCTGATTCAGAGAGAAATCTCGACCTCTACCTTCTCTCTTACCTTGTGGTTAAGCTCCTGGTTCTCACACTTGCTGCCACTGTGGGGCACTATGGAAGTGGGTCAAAGCTGTCATCATCTTCCTCGTCTAGCTGAGATATGACCTCCTCCAGGAAGCCTTCCCTGCCTGTCACTTGTTGGCAGTGAGCACAGGGAAGGCCCCTGAGCCTGTCCGGTCTAGTCTCCTACTATGTGATTAATTAGCCTTGTTTAAATACCTAGGGTGATGAGGGGCTCCCTACTGTTCAGAATGTTCCATCTGTTCTCTAGCCAACTCTTGATGTTACAAAGTCTCTTCTTGATACAGAGGAGAAACCACTCTCCCTGAGACCTCCACTTGCCCCAGTACTTCCCTCAAGAGTGGTTCAGATTAACTCGGCTCCCTCTTTCCCGTGTCAGCCCTCCTAACATAGGAAGACCCCCTCATGCCTCCTTCAGTCCATTCATGGGCTTTTCACATAGGGTCTGGACCTCTCAGCCAACCCTGAACCTTCCATGCCCTTCGTATTTTTATTGCTCCCGAGAGTAAGCTACCAGACTTTATTTCCCTTGGTTGGAATGTGGTGCTTAGCATAGTAGCGCAGTCTCGAGCTGGATTTGATTTTATTATTTGTCACGTTGTTCATTCCAATGTCTCTCTTAAAATCATTTTGAATCAGAATTCCAGCAGATAGCCATCCCTCTTACCTCTGCCAGGAGCCCATTTGATAAGCATATCTTCCGGGTCTTCATCCTGGTCTTTGATCAAAATGTTGAACAGGACAGGAACCAAAGCAAATCCGAGATCTCCCTCCACACTGACATTGATCTTCAGGTTTGGGGCAGTTATTCCACCAGCTATGACACCACTCAACATCATCCTCATCCCTCCGCAGGTCACCACCTGCAACAGGGATGTGAGCTGCTTCTGAGACCATGATCTTGTCATCTTCCAACCCTGACACAGGGAGTGGTTAATAAATGCTGGATACTTAAAGTGCTGAATACTTAAAAAATCGAATCTACTGTTCCACCACTCAATAAGACCCCTTTTAAAAAGGAAGACAGATTGTAAGGTGTGCCTTGTTTCCAGTGAACCCAAACTGGCTTCTCATAATCAAGTGTTTCTTTTCTAAGTGGCCACAAACCATCTGTTTAATTGGGGATGGACATTCAGCTCAGGGGTTTGCAATGCCCAGAATCCACTCCAAGCCCCCCTCCCAACACAGCACACGTGTGGCTTGCGTGCACACACACACGCCCCTTTGAAGAATGGGAAAGCTTTTGCCATGAGTTCTCCAGATGACACACACTGATCACATCTGCAAGTTATTTGTCTTCTGATGTCATTTGTGAGCCTAGAGACCAGATCCAGTTTAAAGGGGTGCTCACTGACTGCTCTTTCTATGTTACTGAGTTTCCATTTCCTTTCCAAATGATGCTTCTTTTTATTTCTTGTAATTTGAAGATCATTCTCATGTACAACAGATTTTTATTGGGTTGAGTAACTCTTTCATCTTTTGGTTGACGTTCTACCGTCTCCCCTCAACAATGAACCCATCTCTTCCTTCTTTTGAATCTCATTTAAAACTGCAGTCCTTTTTGCTGTTTTGTGCTGGCCCTGCCCTGGCTTCCCTCATTGCTCTCCTGAGGGTCCCCACTACTCCAGCCTTTGGAAATCTCACCACAGATAATAGTAACAACAATTAATCGTTATTGAGCATATGATCTAGCAGCACATGTTTAATTCTTTATGTGCATTTTAATTAGCACAATGACATTATAAGCCAGATGTTGGCATTATCCATGTCTTGCATATGAGAAAACAGACTTGGAAGAATTCAGTAACTTACCCAATATCACGTAGAGAACCTGGACTGTGACACCAAAATCTGTGATTGCAATACTATATGTGTTCTGGGATATACAGATGTGCAAGACAGTCCCTGACCCCCAGGAGCATACAGCCAGACAGAGTGTTGCTTCCTTTCCTGTTGAGGAGTTGTGCTCAGTTGGAAGGGGTAAGGCAGCTTCCTTCCTTGTTTTTCCTGGCTGGCATGGGCTGGCCTTCATCTCTCTGGTGGACACATGGCCTTCCCTGGGAGCCTTTCTGTGCCTTAATTCCCTCCATAATTCCCAGAAGACGCATGTCATTTTTCAGAGGCCTGCTAGAGGTCCCAAGAGAGAAGTGCACTAGGGATAAAAATTCCAGATTAATCAATGCATAATTGTAGAAATGCATAAAGTAAAAACCATCCATGGGCTTGGGTGAAATCGTAGAGTTATAAGTGAACCCAGATGGCACCTTGGGGTCATAATGTTGAGAGAGCTGTGGAGGCTGGGGAGCCAGCAGAGGCTGGTGTCATAGAATAATAATGGTCACTCTTTGTTCTGGTCAGTTAGGTGCCAGGCAGAGTATTAGGCATCTTGCATATATGATCTTATTCATGAGATCTTATTCACAACCTCGGCACTGTTATCCCTACTTTACAGGTGAGTGTATTGAGGCTTGAAGTGCTTGAGTAAATCTGCCCTAGTTTACACAGGCAGTGGTGGTGGAACCGACTTTCAGTTCTAGGCTGTCTGACTCCAAAGTCTATGATCTTTCAAAAGTAAACCTTAAATAAAACCACCTGCTTTGGTGGATGGTCTTTGACATCTGTTTTGGCTGCTGAGAGGTTGTTTTTCACTTGCTTCCTGGATCTCAGCTTATTGCCAGATGTGCTAATGGTAGGTAAATCTTATACAATTATGCATGTCATGGAATGTCAAACAAGGGAAAGAGCCACTTTGAAAGCCTCCTTTTAGGATCCTCCACAGCTCTACACTCACGTAATTAGCAGCTGACCCAAAGAGGACTTATAGTGGTTCCCAGGCAACGAAGCAGCGCCTTTACGAGGCAGAGATTATGGCTAACAGGCGAAACATTGCAGAGGAGCCAAGAAGATAAGAACTTTTGGAACTGGCAGGATCCACCCTCATTCCCATCCCTGTTTTCTGATATCCTGCCTGTTCTTCGAGGTCCAGCCCAAATTCCGCCTGCTCCCTGACCCCCACCTCCCATCCTCCAGCCAGGCAGAAGTTATACCTTCCTCCTCTGCAAAGCCTGTGCTGGATTTTCCCTGAAGTCCCTGCTTCTCACGTGCTGAAGGGAGTGAGGCTGTGAGGGTAAAGGGAAAGTGGATGCTTGTCCTCAGCCCAGCGGCTGAGCAGAATTGATTGGCAGACCCAGGCAGCCACATGGAGCAGTGGGGAAGGGTGTAAGAGCCAGAGTGCCTGGGGTTGACTCCCAGCTGTGCTGTTTGCTGGCAGTATGATCTTGGGGAAGTTTCTTAACCACTCTGTGTCTCTGTTTCCCTATCTCTAGAATGAGTCTGGTAATCCTTCCTCCCTCATGGGATTGATATGAGGATTAAATAAAGGAATATACACAAAGTGCTTAGAGTAGTACCTAGCACATCGTGAGAATTCAACCGGTGTTAGCTGCCATTATCTTTCCTACACTCCTCATCTATTAAATGAGCAAAACCTGGTCAGCTTCCCCAGGCACCGATTGTCCTCTCTCTACTTCCAGGATTCTGAGCTGAAGCATTTCAAATATCAAAATATCTTAAGCAAATGCAATTCTATGAGTGAAATTGACATTTACTGAGTGCTTACAGTTTGCTAGACATGTTGTTAACTTGACACATATTAAATTTCCCGAAGCCCTGTGATATCATTACCCTCTTACAAGCAAGGAAATGGAGGCACAGAAGAGTTCAATGACGTGCCTGAGGGCATGCAGCATGCCAGATGCAATCCAGGCAGTGAACACCTGAGATAAATTTCCCGAAGCCCTGTGATATCATTACCCTCTTACAAGCAAGGAAATGGAGGCACAGAGGAGTTCAATGACGTGCCTGAGGGCATGCAGCATGCCAGATGCAATCCAGGCAGTGAACACCTGAGGTGTCATGCTGAAACGATGCAGCGTGGCTCCTACCTGGGCTGAGAAGGAAAGGGGTCCACGCAGTTCTCCCCTGAGAGCATCCTACAAGCATGAGGAGCACCTCCCACTTGCAGGGTGCACTAGGAGACATTGAGCCTCACATCTTCTCTAATCCCCCCAACTCCCCGGTGGCGCCATGGTGATCACCTCCATTTTTTAGACAGACACTGACGCTTAACGAGGCTGAGCCACAGGCCCAATGTCAACAGCCAGGAGGTGGTGGAGCTGACCAGGCTTTATTTGGCAAAGGGCAGTGCCCCTGCCACCAGAGCACAGCTGTTTCCACATGACAGAAGTCGGTACAGCTCTTAATTAGATACCTTCAGTCTCAATATAGCCATCGCCATGCCTCCCTGCAGGATGCCCTTGACCGCAGTGCAGGTCTCTTCCTCCTGGGAGAGGAGACCTCTGCTTCCTCCTGCCTCTCAGGAGGTCTTGAGCAGGCCCTTTGGGGCTCTGCCAGCTGGGTGTGGCTCCTTCTTAGCAGGTCTGAATTCAGCCTCCCTGCACAGAGCCAAGGTTGCTTCTGAGGAAGTAGGGAAAGTGGACGCTTGTTCTCAGCACAGCTGCTGAGCTGAATTGATTGGCAGACCCAAGAGGCCACGTGGAACAGCGGGGAAGTGTGTAAGATTAGGAGCAGAGTGCCCTCACTCGGCCCTCTGCAGTTGCTTCCTCCATCCAGCAACTCTTGTAAAGATGTTTTGGTTAGCTATAAAAATAACATGTGCATATTGTAAAATTTTTGAGTAATCTAGAACTGCATAAAGTAAAAAGTGGATAGTCTCCCCTTGATTCTCCTCCAAATCTCACTCCTCCGAGGTGACTAAGCATTGGTAACACTTTGGTGTGTCCTTCCAGATCCTTCTAGGTATGTGTGTGTGTGCATGTGTGCGTGTGTGTGTATGCATGCACCATCTCAATTTTCCTTAATTTTTCAGCCACACTCTGTAGGTCTCTATTGATGGATTCTGAAGTTTTTCCAAGTTCTCATTATTACCAAAAATGCTACAATAAATACCTTTAAACTTACATCTTTATACACTTGGGCCAGTATATCTGTAGAATCCTAAAAGCAAAATTCCATTCAAGAAATGTTTATTAAGTACCTACTACATGCTGTGTGCTGAGGAGTCCACAATGAATGAAACAGATAAAATTCTTGCCCACCTAGATTGACATTTTGGTGTGGAGTTGGGGAGAGACAGACAATAAGCAAATAAACAAGTAAGCAGCAGTAGGTCATGGAGGAAACCAGCAGTCAGAAGGGAAGGGGGTGGAGGTGGGGAGGGAGTTGGGAGGTGGGGAGGGAGTTGGGGTGTGGGGAGGGGGGGGTTACTGTTTCATGTGGGATGGTTGTTCATGTTGGAGCAGAAACTGGCAGGAAGTGAGGGAACACACCCAGCAGGTAGCCGGGAAGAGCTTCCAGGCTGCAAGTGCAAAGGCCCTGAGGTCAGAGCAGGCATGGTGTGTTCGAGGACCAGCAAGGTCGATGTGGCTGGAACCAAGTAAGCAAAGAGGAGAGTGGTGGGAGGTAGGTCAGAGAGATAAGAGGGGCCAGGTGAGGACTGGCCTTAGAGGCCATGGTGAGGACTTTGGATTTTACTCTGAGTTACTTGTGCGTTAAAGGATTTTGAGCGGAGGGAAGATGTGATCTGATTTACATCATAAAAGATCTGCTCTGGTTGCTGTGGCTGGGGCAGGGTCAGGAGCAGGGACTATTGGACTAATCCCAGGGAAAGATGGTAGTGGGACTAGGACCAAGAGTGAAGAGAAGAGGGTTTGAGGAGGGAGGAGGGGATATAGAAGGTGTGCCTGGCAGCCCTGAGGGCCCAGTCCAGGTATGTGCTCTTGGTTCCAGGTGAGACGAGTCCAGCCAGGTCAGCATGGTTGTGTGTTCTGCACCAGCCACATTTGGCTATCTGGTGCAGGCATCGTGTAGGTAGAAAGTTGGACTGACCCAGGGTTGTAGATTTCAGATGAGTGTGGTGGAGAAAAAGAGGAGCAAGGAGAAGTCGGATGCAGGGAGGTACTGATAAAGACGACTAGGGATGTGCTTTGAAGTGAAGTGACTGCTAGCCCTTTTGCTGCTCCCTCTGTGATCACATTTGGTCATTTTCTAAAAACATGAAAGGCTGGGTAATGAGTCACTGTCTGGCTCCATAGCAAGAGCCAGAACAGATTTGGAACTTCGGTTTTTCAAAATGCCAGCACTTCAAATACTACTAATAATAACCTTCAATGATGATGATTAATAATAATCAAGAGTAATATCTAGTACACTTTTCAAAAACATAATCTCTCTCAATTATTACTCAGTGATGCAATTAATAAAGGAGCCCCCAAATATATTTGAACTCAGAGTACCATGATTAATAAAAGATCCCCCAAACAAATGTACTTGAACTCATGTATGAATAAAGAAAAGAGAAAAAGAATGGACTACAGAACTAAGCTAGGTAGGGAGAGAACTGATGGAGGTGACAGGCAGTGACTGAAGGTCGTAGGCTTAGTGGATTGAAGGTCACATGGTGAGAACTATGGTAGGGAGTGAGCCTGGAAAGATTGGGGGATGCAGGTGGAGAGTGGGGTCCTTGAAATTGAGATTACACATGGGGCGCACGATTCTTTATGATCCAGCGCATGACGTGGTGGCCAAGAAGAGATAGAGAGAGGATGGAAAGAGGGAGGATCAGCTGGAGGATACTGAAACCACCTACATCCTGATGGAGTGGGTCCTAGAGACAGACCAGAGGCCAGAAGCTGTTTCTTGACCGGTCCCAAACAGTCCCAGCATTGACGCTGGCTACAGACAGCATTTGCCAGCACCTGCCTTGGCTCATCCCGCCTCCACTCTGTCAGCTTCTAACCTCGCACTTAGGTAGCAGGGAGGCAGTCCTCCTGTCCCTTTCTCCAGCAGGGAACCCCAGTAGCACAAAACAGGAGACCCCCTTAGACTATTGAGTGTCCTCTGCACATGCCTCACAGGTCACGGTGAACATTTCCCTGGAGTCCCCACTTGTTGGAACTCTGAATACACAGCAGGTTTTGAGGCTCCCTCTGGAAACTTCCAAGGAAGTGGTTTCCCTCCTGGAAAGTGTGCTCTCTACCTTTAAATGCCCACCTGCTGGGGAGAACTGGTATTTAACAAGGTGTCAGAGGCTCCTGCAGTGTTGTGAGCATTTGATGAGCTAAGAGCCTGGAATGAGGTGTGAGGACAGTAGTGCCTGTCCCTGGAAGTGCTGTTTCAGGGTTCCACACGTGTTGCCATCTTACACACAAGGTAGCAGAGGCTCAGGGGGTTTGGGGGCTCACCTGAGGACTCACAGCATGACACGCAGAGCTGAGGTTCACACCCTGAGTTTTCCCCCCCACGTGATTTTTTCATGCATGTGTTTTATCCGTCTAAGTCCTAAGCTCTTGAGGACAGGGATGTGTCTTAAACCCACTCGGGAAGGGTTCAGGTCTTGTATTGCCATCAGCCATTGGCATGCCCCTGTCTGGAGTCAGCACTCAGTAAGTATGGGATGATGGGAGGCTCAGCCTCTCTTCCCCCACCTCCCCTCTCTGGGCCTTTCCTTCCCATTTCAGACCCCCCACTACCTTCCTGCCACCCTGGGCCCTTGCTGTCACTGAGGAGACCTCTTCCTTCTTGAAGATGCTGTGATGTATATTAAGTTGACTAAGAGAAGAGCTGCAGCCGGTGTTTAACCCAAAGCAGTGGCTCCTTACTGAGGGATCAATGAGACAGTACCCCAGTCTCTTCCATGGATATTGTGCTGGGAACAGATAGGCTGTGCATTTTCAGCAAGGACTGGCCTGGGCTGTCTAGGAGGAATGATGACCATAACTGGGGGACAGCTGGGGAGCAGTGGCGTTTCTGTGCCGGAAGCTGCTTCGTGGAACCTTTACTGTAACCCAGGGTGACCCGCCTAGCTAAGGCCAGTGGTGGTCATGCAGCTGACAGCGTGGGGAGCAGCATAACCCTCTTCCTCCCCCTGCTTCTTCTAGATCATTCTGAACTTCACGTCCATGGACCTATACCGCAGCCGCCTGTGCTGGTATGACTATGTGGAGGTCCGAGATGGCTTCTGGAGGAAGGCGCCCCTCCGAGGTAAATGGCACGAGCCCTACCTCCACCGTGGCAGATGCCACCTTAGAACAGCTCCCATCACACGCTCCACATCCTCGCCCAGGGCCGTACACTTGGCCAGGGACGACATTGTAAGTCCCATCCCCATCTGGACTACAGAGTCTTCAGTGCTGGCTTCTGGGCCTCCTTCAGAGGGTGGCTGTCACTCTGCAGATGCCAGAGAGTCATAAGAGTTGACGGAGAGAGCCAGAGAAACTGTTCTGTGCATCCCCGTAGCTCCAGGCTGTCTTGCTCATCTGGGCAATTTCAGAGGCTCCGTTTTCTCCATTGCAAGGTCTGGCTTTTGGGTGTCCACAAGGCAGCCTGGCTCAAAGGAGACCTGTTATAAACCTGCCAGCCTGTCTCTTAATTCACCTTGGAGGGCTATGTACCTGGCACGGTGGCCCAACCTTGTTTGCACAGGACACTTTGTCCCTGCTAGCGGGGGGCTGGCAGTAAGTGGGGGATAAGTGGGTCAAAACACAGAACAGACGGTGCTTTAATGAACCTAGAATTAGGGCAGAGGGAGTCAGGTGTTCCTACAGGGCATTTATATCAAACCTGAGGAGCTGTGTGAGTTTCCTTCTCCAGTCTGGACATGATTCTAAGTAACTCAGGGCTGCTTCTTGGTGTCAGAACTTTTGCTCCACAGCCTGTGCCTAAAGCAGCCTGGCAGATTCTTACTGACCCTCTATTGTTTTTCTCCCAGTGTCTGATATTCAAATATTTCTTATTAATCACCCAAAGCAGCTATCATTACAACACTTCCTCCTGCAGACATGTTAGCATTTCCAAGATTACAGTTTCTTTTTCGTAACTCACATTCCCAGGCTGGCACCCTCTGTCCCTTGCTGAAAGTTGGGAAACACCCAAACTTATTAGGAACACACAAAGCATCCCGCGTTGATTCTTGACTACAAAGAATTCCACAGATGGCCAGCTTCACCCACTCATGCTGATTCATTGGTTTTTATTTCAAAGGGGACATTTTCCAACCCAGTCCCCAGATTCTGCAACTTATCTGGGGTCCTGGGGCATCCCCTGCATTTGATGAAATGAAAACATGCCTGTGAGAGCATTTTGTAATGTGCTAAGAAAGCCATGTTAATTTCTTGATTATTACTTGAAGACCAAATAAGAAAAGGTAACTAATAATGATAGTATGCTCTTTAAAAAGGTAAATAAAGGGCCGAGCCCATGGCGCACTCGGGAGAGTGCGGCGCTGGGAGCGCAGCAGCACTCCCACTGCAGGTTTGAATCCTATATAGGGATGGCCGCCAGTGTGCTCACTGGCTGAGCGCGGTGCAGCCGGTCTCAAAAAGGACAAAAAAAAAAAAGGTAAATAAAACACATACAGTTGGGGCCAGCCCAGTGGCGTACTGGAGAGTGTGCCGCTTGGGAGCATGGCGGCGCTCCCGCCGAGGGTTTGGATCCCATGTGGAGACCGGTTCCTGCTCACTGGCTGAGTGTGGTGCGGGCGCAGCACCGAGGGTTGCGATCCCGTTGCCGGTCCCTGGTACGGGCGCGACACCGAGGGTTGCGATCCCGTTACCGATCAGTAAAAAAGACAAAAAGGAAAAAATAAAAAAAACACATGCAGTTGAATGTCATGAAGATTCAGCTTTCCTCCTAGACACAGGCTCATGTCCTATCCCTCAAGTGGTCTCTGGCTCTCCAAAGCCAAGTTGGGCCTTGGACCAGAAGAAGCTAAGAGGGCGGGTGGTCTTCGGAATGTTTGTGGATCAAACCTCCCAGAGCAGTGGGGCTTCTGTAGGGACTGGCTTCGGGGCTCACCACTCTTCTGTCCACACTGTAGGCCGGTTCTGCGGGGGCAAACTCCCCGAGCCCATTGTCTCCACCGACAGCCGCCTCTGGGTCGAATTCCGCAGCAGCAGTAATTGGGTTGGCAAGGGCTTCTTTGCCGTCTACGAAGGTACTGAGGAGGGGAAAGGGGGAAGGAGTCACATATGAGGTCCCTGGGCATCCTAGAACGACTTCCTTCCTACCTGAGGGACAAGGTTGTGGGTCCACAGGGCGGAAGTGGAGAGAATGGCAGGATTGGCCAGGGTGTGGGGGGAGGACACCAGGAAGCTGGTGGGACGTGGGAAGGATGGAGGAGTGGGGGAAAGGGCTCACAAGCAGGGCAGAGCATGGTGAACTATCGCCCTCCCCGCCTCACTCTGTGTCCCCACAGCCATCTGCGGGGGTGATGTGAAAAAGGACAATGGCCATATCCAGTCTCCCAATTACCCAGATGATTACCGGCCCAGCAAAGTCTGCATCTGGCGGATCCAAGTGTCCGAGGGCTTCCACGTGGGCCTCACCTTCCAGTCCTTTGAGGTAGGTCGGAGACCCTGTGATGGGACACTTGCATCCCCCACTTGCCCCCTGGGACAGCCCACTCTCTGTGGGCTCCCAGGGCTGGGTCCCTGGCAGCCACACCTCCTCCTGCTCACCGGGCCCTTCCCACGCCCCCCAGATCGAGCGCCACGACAGCTGTGCCTACGACTACCTGGAGGTACGGGACGGGCACAGTGAGACCAGCACCCTGATCGGGCGCTACTGTGGCTATGAGAAGCCCGATGACATCAAGAGCACATCCAGCCGCCTCTGGCTCAAATTTGTCTCGGATGGATCCATTAACAAAGCGGGCTTCGCTGTCAACTTTTTCAAAGGTCCCTCCCTCCTCCCCAGTTCTCCTGCCCCGTCCAACCCCATGGCTAGGCCGGCTCCTTCAGACCTTCTGCATTCACTCATTCAACACAGGGACTCTGTGGGGGATGCAAATGCCAGTAAGACCCCTGGGCCTTGCTGCTAAGGAGCTAACTGGGGGGAAGAGGCCAACGCCAAGAGCAGTAGCCAGGCAGCATGGATTTTTTTTAACCTGCATGACCTTGGGCATATTCTTGTACCTCAGTTTCTTACCTGTAAAATGGGCATAGTGACAGTCACCTCATCACAGCATCATGTAAGGATTGGAGGAGAAATAAGAGTACTCAGGGGACAGCACATGAGAGGCTCCAGTAAACAGCAGTTGCCACCAGCCCTGCCCATGTGCTCAGAAAGAAGGCTCTGTGGGGTCCACTTGTGGGCTCTCCCTGTGGGGTTCTGAGCTGCCGTGGATGGCTGGGTGGGGCCTCGGGGCTGAGCAGATGGGGGAGTCTCATATCTGTCTTCCCTCCCAGAACGGGGAGAGGGGTGGTTACAGGAAGCCTGGAAGTGGGACCTGACCCTGGCCTGGCACGTGTGACACCCTTTCCTTCCCACCGCAGAGGTGGACGAGTGCTCTCGGCCCAACCGCGGGGGCTGTGAGCAGCGATGCCTCAACACTCTAGGCAGCTACAAGTGCAGCTGTGACCCTGGGTATGAGCTGGCCCCGGACAAGCGCCGCTGTGAGGGTGAGTGCCCCCAGCTGCCTCCGGAGCCCTATTCCCTACCCCACCCCAAGCTCTCCAGCCAGATTTCTTGTGCTTCTGGACAGACCTTTCTGGAAAAGCTGGAAGGATTCCCTAGCACTCTTCACAGCTCATGGATCAGAAATAGCTTTGCTCTTGCCACCCCCAGGACACACTGTTGCCGTGTGTAATGCGCTCTGGCTTTGATGGTATTCTTTCATCCTTTGTCTTTTTTCGCAAATGCTGATCTTGACCTGCTAATGGATGTCACCACCCGGGAGAGGTTGAAGCCCCTGTTCTGGGACAGGCACTGAGGCTCGGCCTCTCTGTGCACGCTCCTGAGATGCTGTGACAGCACCCCGGGCTGCTGGCTCCAGCTCCGCCCATCTTGCTGCTGCACCTCTGGGCAGCTCCCTGCCAACCTCTCCAGAGCTGCCTGCCAGCCCTGCTTTCTTTGAGCCCTCACTCTGCCTCCTCCCTCTTGTCAGACCCTGGCCTGTTCTTTCACAGAGAAGATAGAAATGGCCACTCATATGTCCCCTCAACCCTTCTACTCCCACCTCCAGGCTCCCCCACCCTCCCCTGCGTCCTAACCGCCTGTCCCACAGGGAGCAGACACGAGCCCCCGGGAGGGGGAACCCACAGACCTGTCTCCTCCTGACACATCCCAGCCCACATCCCAGGCCCTTCCCTGGAGCAGGGACTCCTGGCGGGTGACGCCTCTCCCTTGTCCCCCAGCTGCCTGTGGAGGATTCCTCACAAAGCTCAATGGCTCCATCACCAGCCCAGGCTGGCCCAAGGAGTACCCCCCCAACAAAAACTGCATCTGGCAGTTGGTGGCCCCCACCCAGTACCGCATCTCCCTGCAGTTCGACTTCTTTGAGACCGAAGGCAATGACGTAAGTGACCCCCAGGGGCCAGGGCGGGCAGGAAGCCATGGAGTGTGGGAGCTCTGCTCCGTGCCTCTTCCTCCCCTCTGAGAATGCAGAGGATGAGAGACTGCCCCCAGTTCAGGGAGCAGGGCAGGCTTGGCGGGAGGGCCTTTCAGGCCGGGGAGCATATAGCATGTGGGAATGAAGGCCATTGATCGAGGCAGGAAAGTCTTGGAGCCATGGAAAGCAGGAGGCTGGCTTGGGGCTTGCGTGGGGAGCCCAGGAGGATCTGAGGTGTGAGAGCAGATAACTAAAGGCTAAAGGATCTGCAGGACAGGGAGCTTCCCCGGGTAGGAGTGGTCAGGGGAGGCTTCCTGGAGGAGGCGGGCCTGGAGCTGGTCTCCCCTGCAGGTATGCAAATACGACTTTGTGGAGGTGCGCAGTGGACTCACAGCTGACTCCAAGCTGCATGGCAAGTTCTGTGGCTCCGAGAAGCCCGAGGTCATCACCTCCCAGTACAACAACATGCGCGTGGAATTCAAGTCTGACAACACCGTGTCCAAAAAGGGCTTTAAGGCCCACTTCTTCTCAGGTAACCCCAGACTCCCCAGCTCCTAGCCCTGCTTCCTCTCAGAGGACGGGGCTCCCCTTCTCCCCTGCCCCTGCACCCGTGTCCTCCCCAGCCCTCCATGGTGCCCAGCCAGCAGAGTCTGCCCCGTGCTGCTCCACCCCACTCACCACCACCATCAGGCCAGCCTCTCTGGCATCCGAATCCTGTTGTTCCTGAGCCCTCAGGGCTATACTGGGGCCAGACCTGAGGATGGGCAGAACCTGGGCAATGAAAGGGAGAGGGCGTTCCAGGTGCCAGGAACATGCAGGCCAAGGCCAAGAGAAGGCAGGGCCTGGGAATGGGGGTTCAGTATATCGAGAACATGAGGTGGATGGAGAAGAAGAGGTGTGTGCTTTGCACCATGGGGGGTAGATTATTTGCCAGCAGCCAGACTTCTAATCAGACCCTGCACATGCCCAATATGTTCATGCCCGGGGCCTTCAGAGATGAGTCGCCTTCCCTCCTTGAATCCCAAAGCCTTCCCACTCCCCGTTGGCCTATGAGTGGGGTCTCAGATCCCACCAGCATATGGGATTTATTGAGGGCTTCCCTACAGGAGGCTTAGGCTCCAGTCACCTGGGCTCGTCGGGGCCTCTGATGGCCACGTCAGCAGCCCTCTGCTCGGCCTGTCTGAACTGGACCTCTGGGGTCCCGGGAGATGCCTCCCTGCTTTTCCCACCTGGGGAAGCTCCCTGTCCTGGAGATCCTTTAGACTTTAGCTACCTGCTCCCCACACAAGCCCCAAGCCTTCCCTGGCTCCAGGCTAGCCTGAGTCCTTCACCCCGAGTCTAGCTATCAGGTGTCTGGTGGTCTCCCAGAGACAATAGGTCCCCTGACCCAGGCAGTGAGGGCAGGAGTTCTGTGGAGGAGCTCTGTGGAATGAAGCGTGGGGCAGAGTGGGAGGTTGGAGAGCTGCCCGGAGCACGCGGCTTTGAGAAGGAATGGCCCAGGGATCCTCGCCCCCAACACTCCTGGTGGGCCAGACACAGGGTGGGCATGAGGGCAGGAAGCCCACGGCCGAGTCCACGCTGCCTTCCTTCTCCCCTCCTTTGCCCAGGGTCCTGCATCCTCGAGCCCCCTATGTGGTCACCCTGCACCCCTGCCTGCCCCACCTGGATGCCATGCACCTGTCCCCGTGCACTGGTTCCCTGCTTGGCACTGCCAGCCACCCTGCTCTGCTCAAAATGCCCTGTTGCCTCTCTGCCCCACAGCACCCCTCCCGCCCCACTGCTTGCTGAGACCCTCCCCCTGCAACGCCAGTCCCTATCTTCCCTGTGCCCATGTGGAACTCCTCTAAGGAGCTCAGCAGAGGGCTGAGGGGGTGTAACAATTGCTCAGGGTGGGCTCTGCCCCAGGGAAACCATTACCTGCTTACTCTTGTCTTTTCCTGCCCTCTGTTGCTCCAGTCTTGGGGAGGGGGTAGATCAACACTCACATCAGGCCTGGAGTTACTGCTCTGCCCCCACCCCCAGCATGACACTGTGCCCACCCCACCCTCACTTGGGCACAGACACACACATGCGCACACACACGTGCATTGCCAAGAAACCTGCAGAGGACCCTCACTGGTGGGCATCAAGGTTCCACCCTCAGGGCATGGGGCATCTGACTCTGGTCCCCCCAGGAGGGGGGCTATTTGGACTTTTGGGACACCCATCAAGGAGACCCTAAGCCAAGAAGGAGAAGAGCGAGCCTGAAGACCTTCAGTCTGACCCCAGCCACCTTCGGGGCATTTGGGCACTGTAGGGTGAGTGCCATCTCCACGTCCGGGTTCATGTCACCTCCCCTTGCCCCCCTGCCACCTGCTCCCCGGCTCCGAGGCAAGGCTGCCTGCTGCCACCCAGGAGGCTGCAGCAGCCCCCTAGGACTCATTTTCCCACACTCATTCAACCATTCACCTAACTACTCACTCATTCACTAGGCGAGGATTTATTTTATCTCTACTGTGTGCCAGACACTGTACTAGATATTTGGGGTGCAAGTACGAGGAAGGGGTGGAGGTCAAAACACATCAGGGAAGTCTTTGCTCAGTCCATGAGCTTAGCACCCTGAAGCTCCTAGCACAGACACTGGTGATATCCTCAGGGAACCCCCGGGACAGGTCGTAGGGTATCCTCACCCCCACATTCCCCACGGGGCTAGTACCAAGGCAGCTTCTGGAGAGCCCTCCGTCAGGCTCCCCTCTGATGTGCCAGCTGAGAAGGTGCCCTTGGGAAGGGACTTGGAGACGCCACCTCTTGGCCCTGCATTCCTGTGGGACCAAGGGGTCTGGCCCACCTGAGCATGGGCTGGAGAAGCTGGGCCCTCTGGGAGCTGATACCCCTGTGGCAGAACCCCCTGGTCAACTGAATGCCAGCAGGCGTCTGTTTCTGGCATCCTGGGCCTCCACTGTGGTCCACACCCCTTCCCTGAATGCCTGTTTCTAAGCCAGGCACAATCCCCAAAATGAACACAGGCAGACCTGAGGGTATGTGGCTGTGACATACACACGCCTGTGACCATGTGTAGCTCTGTGTCAGTGCACACGTTGTGTGAGTGTGTGTGCATGTCTGCTGACACGTGTGCAGGCATGCATGTGAGCTGTCTGCTAAAGGGCCTGTGTGTCTCTTCATTTATGTGTTTCTCCGTAACCACGTTTGAGTTTCCAGGCGCCTGCATGTGCAGATGTGTCCGTCGCCCTGTGTGTGTCTGTGCCTGTCCGTGTGTTATATCTGTGTGTGCTCCCTCACACATATGTGAGAGTAGGTCATGCATAGCTCTTGTGTACACGTGTACACAGGCCAGGGGGTGATGGTATGTGTGTGTGGTTGCCTGTGTTTTTGTATATGCATTGCCTGTTGTATTGTGGATGTATGTCCGTGTGTCTATGGTGTGTACTATGTGCACATGTACGTATGTGTCTGTGGATCAGTGTCTGTGTTGTCAGGTTGGATGACAGTCCATCCATGCATGGGGTTGTGTGGGGATCCTGTATCTGTGGGTGTGTTAGTGTGTATCCGTCCATCTGTGTCTAACACACTGTATAGATGCAGCCGCCGGAAATGGAGGGAGAGGGAGCTCTCACGGAGCCCTTTCCGCATCCACTCCCATCTCTCTCCTTTCCCAGTGCCTTGGTCCCGCCCCTTGCAGTCCCTCCAGGCCTTCTCCCTGCCACAGGCTCTGTCTCCATCCCCTGTCGCTCTGCCTCCTCCCACCTGCTAACCCAGCCCTCATGACCTGGCTGCGCCTGGACATGGCTGTCCTGCATGAGTGTCCCACCTGCCTTCCCACCCCCACCCCGTGGACCGGTGGCTCCACCTCGGAGGCCCTGGGTCTGGTTCTCACCACCTCCCTCCCTGGTCCCTGCCCTCCACCCCCACCCCTCGGTCCCTTTTCTCCTTCTCTCTCTCGTTTCAGAAAAGAGGCCAGCTCTGCAGCCCCCTCGGGGACGCCCCCACCAGCTCAAATTCCGAGTGCAGAAAAGAAACCGGACCCCCCAGTGAGGCCTGCCAGGCCTCCCGGACCCTTTGTTACTCAGGAACCTCACCTTGGACGGAATGGGATGGGGGCTTTGGTGCCCACCCAAGCCCCTGCCTCCGCTCTGCCATTCCGGCCTGCCTCCTTGTGGCCGGACAGAACTGGTGCTCTCCTCTTCTCCCCTGTTCCCTTCATGCAGACAGGGGACCCTTCCCTGTCCCCGGCCCCCTCCCATTTTGATGGTGTCTGTGACATTTCCTGTTGCGAAGTAAAAGAGGGACCCCTGCGTCCTGCTCCTTTCTCTTGCAGTCTGCTTGTCCGTGTGTCTGTTTTTCCACTTGTCCGTCTGTCCAGTAAGCAGGTAATGGTAGAGGGTTCCCATGCTGGTCAGCTGCAGGCCCCTGGCCCTCCCCGCCTCCCCTTTTCCTTTCTCTCCGGCAGCTGGGCCCACTCAGCTGGTTCGGCTTGATGCAGCACCCCGGACCCCATTGCCGCCTGGGCCTCCTGCTGCCCACCCGGCCTGGCCCGCTCTTGCTGGCCACTGCTCTCTCGGTGGGAGGAAGCCCAGCCAGGCCTCCCGCTTCCCCTGGGGTGACCAGGCCTCAGCTCTGCACAGACCCAGCCTCTGTCCTTGTTTGCTCCCCTTGCAGACAAGGACGAATGCTCCAAGGATAACGGCGGCTGCCAGCAGGACTGCGTCAACACATTCGGCAGCTATGAGTGTCAGTGTCGCAGTGGCTTCGTCCTCCATGACAACAAACACGACTGCAAGGAAGGTAAGGGCCACATGGATACCAGACACATGGCGCAAGTGGCCAGAGCCTGCTGGACATGGAAGGCCAGGAGTGCTGTTTTCATCGGCCTTGGTTTGCACCTGGAGCTGAGTGACATCTGAGGTTACCTGGTTTCACCTCTCACCTGGTGCACAGATCCCACCTCCCGCTCCTGCAATATCTGAACTGCACATGCTTCCAGCCTCTCCTGCCCATGCCAGGAGAGGAGCTCGCGGTGGCTCCCAGGCTCTCTTCTCAGGCTCTTCTGGTGGTTAGCACTTCCCAAAACCCGTGTCCAATTCTTTCTCTTTGTAGTGCCCCCCTGCTGGCACAGAGGCAAGATGGGAAAAGGTTAGGAGAAAGACTCTGCAGCCAGGTTGTCTGGCCCAGCCCTGCCGCTTAGCTAGCTGTGTGCCCCTGAGTGACTGTACCCTCTCTGTGCCTGGGTTTGCTCCTATGTGAAATGCAGATAATGACAATGCCTACCCCAGAGGGGCGCTGGAGCGCTGCGAAGTGCTCTGCGCAGTGCCTGGCTCTGGCAAGCGTAAGCTGCTCATCCCATGGCGCACTGCACAGGCCTGGCGGTGGGCGCCACACAGGTGGTTTTAACCTCAAGGCCTTACTCTCAGGTTTCTCCTCCCAAGTTGACCCCATTGGGTGGACACACACACACACTTCATCACACACACAGTTAGACACACACAGTTAGTGCCCTATGGGTAGATGGTGACCTCCACACCCTGCCCATCCCTTCTCCCTACCCAGCCACAGTGAACCGGCTGCCCACTTGCCCTCAGATTGCACAATCGTGAAAAATAATCATTGGCTTTTAAATTCGAGTTGGGGAGGCCATGCTTTTGAGAAGCAGAAGTCAGATTGCTGTGGATTGAGGCCACATCGGAGAGTGAGAACGTGGTGATAGCAAGTTTTCTGTTATGTTTGCTGAGAAGAAAAGGAAAGAGGATGGAGGTCCAGAGCTTGAAGCCATTGAGAGTGGAGGGCAGGGCTCTGACTTTCTCAGCAGGGACAGGAGAGGTGGTCTGCTGCTGGGACGGAGGGGTTGGGGGTTGAGGAGAGGGCTAAAGGTTTGGGGAGTTGCTGCATAGGTAAGAGACGGAGCTGGCCAAGAACAAAACCAAAGAGTATCGTGTGGGGAACCCAGGGACAGGGAGGTTGGAGACCATGGTGGGGTTTTCCAAGATGGTGCCGTGGAAGGACGGGGCATGAGGCCACGGAAGTGTTGAGGGGCTGTTCAGGTGATGAGCCAAGTAGTCAGTTAAGTCAACCAAGGAGGAAATGCTGGGAGCCGATGGAAAGATCGAGACGTGGGAGGTCTCTCTAAAGCTGACTAACTGTTGTGGCAGAAGCGAAGGCCTGGGCACCCCGGAGGAATGGGAGGTGGCCGCAGAGAGGGTGATGCATTGTGGCATGGAGGAGCAGCGGGTGACACAGCTTAGGGAGAGGTCGCAAGGAAGGGAGATAGAGCTGAGATGGTCAAGGAAGGGAGGGCTGTTCTGGGCGTTTGTTGACATCACCTAGGATGGGCAGGGGTGGGGGTGGGGGAGGAGTGGGTCAGGTGCCAAAATCTCCCGCGACCATGGAGGAGGGTGGGGATCAGTGGAGGACAGTTTTGAGGAGGGTCAGAGGTGATGTGGCCAGGCGGAGCCTGCAATGGCCATGTCCGCAGGTGCTGCCATGTGGGGCCTCACTTAGGGCTCCTGTAGGAACCAAGCAGATAGATTTTCCTCAGGCACAGGTAGCCAAATGAGAAAGAAATGTTGGATGCCTTCAGTCCAGTTTGCAAGTGGGGGACCAAAGATGGGAGGCAGGAGGGAAGGGCCTTCCCCACAGGAGGTGTCACAGCATGGGCCCCTGCCTGTCCCATTCCATCCCTCTCCTCCCCACAGCCGGCTGTGACCACAAGGTGACATCCACCAGTGGCACCATCACCAGCCCCAACTGGCCTGACAAATATCCCAGCAAGAAGGAGTGCACATGGGTCATCTCCAGCACCCCTGGGCACCGGGTCAAGCTGGTAAGGCACCCACTCCCCTGCCTGCACATGGGTCCTCCATGCTATGTAGCCATCCTGTCCTCTCCTAAGCCCTGCAGAATCATGCAGGCTGCAGACTGGATGGCTCAGACAGAGGACCCCTCTCCCATATACACTGGGGGGTGCCCCTGCAGTGGCCACTCCCACGGGTATCTGTGAGCTGGGTTCTGAAGGGCTAGAATTGGGGCCACACTCCTAACTGGACTCTTCCCTGATGCCCTTCAGACCTTCGTGGAGATGGACATCGAGTCTCAGCCTGAGTGTGCCTATGACCACCTGGAGGTGTTTGACGGGCGCGATGCCAAGGCACCTGTCCTTGGCCGCTTCTGTGGAAGCAAGAAACCTGAGCCTGTCCTGACCACAGGCAGCCGCATGTTCCTGCGCTTCTACTCTGACAATTCGGTCCAGCGGAAGGGCTTCCAGGTGTCCCACTCCACAGGTGAGGCCCACATTGGGCTGCACTGGGCAGTGGGGCCCTCACGCTGTCGTTTATTCTGGAGGCATCGCTGATCCTGGTCTTCAGGCCAGGCCGTGGGGAAGGGATGGGGGGTTATAAAGAGCTTATGCAGGTACAGGCAGATGCAGCCTCTGGCCCCTGGGGAGCAAGACAGTGTGTTCTGAGGACCAGGCCAGGAGAGCAGAGGAAGGGGGAAAGGAGGTCATGGTTAGGGGTTAGGAAGGTTGGAAAATAGAAGGCAGTGAAGATGCCAAGGTGGGGGAGGTTAGGGAACCGAGGGACAGGGAGGGAACCCTCAAAGCACCCACTGGTGGCATACTTGACAGTGCAGCAGACCACCCACACTGCAGCCGCCCAAATGCACTCATTCATTCATTCTGCAGTTGTTTATTAACATACAATGTGCATGAGGCAGCGTTCTAAGTGCAAAATGAACTGAAGTCACAAAAATGAACCAAGCACACGAAGATCGCTCCCTCTGAATTCATATGTCACTTTATTTGGCCACCACAGACCAGGCCCTGGCTGTGCAGGGAGATGCGCCCTTTACCTCTGCCCGCTGGGAACACACAGTCCAGGAGGAAGATAAGGAGGGCACAGATAATTACTGCCGGAGACAAAACACGATAAGGGCCTAACTGGGTGTGAGTTGGAAGGCATTCCAGCCAGGGGAGGAGCCCCGCAGAGCCCCAGGTCAGGGTGCACACAGGTGACCGCAGGCCGGTCAGTCTGGCCGGAGCTATGGTGCGTGAGGACAGCAATGAAGTGGGAACGTGGCTGCAGAGAAAGGCTGGGGTCGGTCTTGGGAGGCCTCAACGCCAGACCAAGGATGCCAGGTGAAGTCTCCTTGCAGGGCTGGGGCCACCCTTCGGGGAGTCCTGCACCCCCCCTCCCCTGTAACTCAGTCCCTGACCAGGCCCCACCCAACCCTTTCCCCACCTCCTCCGGGAGACTGAGCACTGGGGGACACAGAGGCCAGAGGGCACAGGAAGGAGGGGGGCCCTGTGCGCCTGCTCCCATGTACCACCCGGCACAGGCTCACAAGCCAGAGCCCTGGAACTCCCTCTGACTCTCAGACCTGTTATGTTGGGCCACACTGTTTTTTAGAAACTTGAGCCAACATGTAAAAATCAGGAGTTTCCACATAAAACCCAGATGTACAATTTCTCCGTTGAAAACAGGAGCTCTGGCAGCTGGGCCCACATTCTTCCATGACGGTTCATGGAATGCCCTCTCTAGACAACACATGTGGTCCCCAAGGCTGCCCCACTGCCTTTCACCCAGCGTGCCTTGCCCAGGGTGTCCCGACCTCCATAGGCATCCAGCCAGAGGTGGAGCGGCAGGGCCCTTGTTCTGGGCCAAGGCCTGGGCCGGGCCCCATCCTGCCCATCATGAGCCATGTGGCCTTGGTCCCCAGCCGCCACATCACTGTGAGGGTCCGTGTGACACAGCCTCGAGCCTGGCAGGCAGTGGTGCTCAGGGTCTGGTGGCCCATCTTGTTGTCCCTGCAGAGTGTGGGGGCCAGGTGCAGGCAGAGGTGAAGACCAAGGACCTTTACTCCCATGCCCAGTTTGGGGACAACAACTACCCAGGGGGAGTGGACTGCGAGTGGGTCATTGTGGCTGAGGAAGGCTACGGTGTGGAGCTCGTGTTCCAGACTTTCGAGGTGGAGGAGGAGACCGACTGCGGCTACGACTACATGGAGCTCTTTGATGGCTACGACAGCACAGCCCCCAGACTGGGGCGCTACTGCGGCTCAGGGGTGAGGCCCCCCACTACCCTCCACCCTTCTGGTCCCGATCCCAAGACCCAGTGCTGATGCTGGCAGAGCCCCTGGAAGTGTGGAGAGTTAAGATGGCCCTATATGCCCGGCCCTTGCAGGAACCGGGACACCCAGCCTGGCCCCCAGCCAGGAAACCCAATCCTTTCTGGGCTACACAGAGGTTCCTGCAGCCTCTGGCACAGGCCCTGCCCTGACCCAGGCCTGCTCAGAACCAGTTTGGTTGGGCCTGCAGGTAGCTTGTGTCTGGGGAGCAGGATAGAGTTCCCCCTGACCCCTCAGCCCCTGCCCCTGTCCCTAGGCAGTTCACCAGAGCCTGGAGTCAGAGGCAAGGCTGGGGCCAGAGCCAGGGACAGGGGGCCTGAGCTGAGTGGCTCTCTCCAGTCCTTCTGGCTGAGCCATAAAAACACCCTGTCTTTTCTGCCAGTTTCTCCTCCTGGTGAGAGGCCAGCTTGTCCCAAAGCCGATGCTGCTGCTGCTGTCTAAGCAGACCCTGAGCATCGCTTCTTGGTCCATAAAACAGCCCTTTGAGAGTCAGCAGGTGAAAGTCTGCTTAATGGGCTTTAACTAAGTCCATGGGCTGACCACATACGTGGATTTATTTTCCTCCCAATAAGAGCTTGTGGCTTTTCTTTTTCTTTTCTTTCTTTTTTTTTTTTTTTTTTGCCTTTGTCTTTTTGAATCCTCTACACCTTCAGAGAAAGCTGTCTTCCCCTGCCCACTGCACACACAGGGACTCACACGCACGTGCACTTTCTCCCACGCACACTCAGACACACTGTCCCTTCCATTGCCTCCCCTGCCTCTCTGTGGCTGTGCTCCAGGGTGGCTTGGGTGCTGCGGCAGCTGCTGGACCCAGCATTGGCCGGACCTCACCTTAGGAACAGAGCTCCAGCCTTTGTGTGGCTGGCAGGGACTGGGCAGGGACTCGGACAAGGTGGACCTTCCTGCAGCTCAGCGGCTCTGGCATCTCCTGGCTACCAAGCTAGTGCCCCCTCTCCACTTTGCCTTCTCATCTGATCACACACCAAATTGGATGCCCCCAGGTGGCTTCTTCCAGAGACGTCCCCCAAGCTGGAGCCAAGCAGAGAGAAGCTGGAGAAAGAACCCAGTTAGGGCTTCCAGGCACGGTTCCTGGAAATGTCCCCCAGGTTCTCAGAAATGACTCCTGTGCTTTGAGGGCCAGGCCATTGGTGGGCTGGCCCCCTCTCTACATAGGTGTGGAGGGGCCACCTGGGAAGAGGCATCTCCCAGAGCAGACTGTGGCCGGCATCGGGGCAGAGGCAGGTGCAGGGGAATGGCAGAGTTCAGGCCTCAGGGAGACCGCGCTGCTCCCTGCAGCCTCCCCCACATGCTGGCAGAGAAGCAGCTGTTCTTCTCTAAGTGTCAGCAAGAGGACAGCCCACTTGCAGAGTCCCCTCCCCTCACAAAGTGCCTCCACCTTCGTGCTCTCATCTGCCTTCCCCCAGCAGCCCTCCAGGCTTGGAGAGCAGAGAGCATTTGCTCCTGATTGCAGTTGAGGGAAGGGAGGCCCAGAGAGAGGTGTCTTGCTGAGACTACGCAGCCACCTAATTAGTGGCAGAGCTGCATCT